TGTGAATGCATATGTGTGTTTGAGGGACGGCCTGTCAGTGTGCGGCAGTAAACGAGTGAGCGTGTGTACGTGCGTGCGCATACGTAAGTGATACCGCAAACCCGTTAGTGTCCATGTGTGTGAATAACTGAATTTGTATGTACAAGGGGGGATGCTGTGTGGAGACCCTGTTGTCATGGCAACCAGGATAGAGAGAGTGAGAGTGGGCGGTTGCCCTCACGGCTCCTCTGACAACCTTTATTTTCTCCAGCTTTGTGTCACTCCAATATTAACCCCTAACCCTTGACAGAGCGAAGGCGGGGTGGGGGGTGAGGTGGTGGTTTTCAAAAGCGGTGCACGAGTTTGGAAAACGAGGGAAATATGGCGTGCATTTTATCACCGCATTTGACACTAGTGGGAGTAGTAAAGTATCTAACGGCCAAGCTTATGCTAATAGTAGTATTGATAAATGTGCTGTCTGTGTACCCTGATTCCAGATAAGCTGTAGCTCTGCAGCTTTTTTCTTTTGCGCTGGTAAATTTCCATTTGTAGTTGACCATGGATCATCGGTCTTCAAACACATGTTACTTGGCCTTTTAAACAAAGAGTACCAGCATGAGGGAGATATTGGTTTCCCTCTGTGCTGTAAAGCCCCTTTTTCCATTAAAGTTGCAAATACTGAATTAATTAGCCGCCTATTGTCCAAGCCAGAGTGCTACCGCAGCAGTTTATTAAATTGATGGAGAGAAAAGGCGTTGAATACAGTGAGAGGAGAAAGAGAGAAGAGGAAGAGGGACTAGGAAATGTACTGTGAAAAGTGATCGGAGGGGAATTGAAGAAAGCTTTTAGTGTCAGCTACCAGGGGGGTTGAGGGAGGAGAAGAAGAAGACTGATAAAAAGGTGACAGGAAAATGGGCACTCATCGTTCTTGGACGGTTCCTATTATAGGGGCTTGGCTCTTAAGTAGAAAACGTGAGGATGGCTTATAAGAAATGCAATTTTCACTGCAATGAATGATGAAAGACATGTCTGCGTTACCCTGTGAATTGTTGAGCAGAGCAGAAACAGGTAGCCAGCCAGTATTATTTCACATGATTTGTGGTATTTTTCTGCTGTAGCGACAAAGCGGGTGTGAGACTTGTCTCACTGCAACAGGCTCATGCATTAAGTATGACCCTGCCAGAGAGAGGACGTGGGGAGGGAGAGGAGGAGAGAATCAGACAGCCTCACCAATGACGCCAGGTATAGATGGACAGCATCAGTCTGGGACCAAACCAAATGTATGGCGAGGGTGTGGATGAATTATGAATTTGGGTGAATTTAGGGCAAATTGTGCCGACAGGAAGGAGATTTCTATGAATAATTCACTCCGTAGGGGGCCTGATCATCTACCCCCCACCAGCATCACCTTGTTCCTCAGACCCCCTCTCCTCACCTCTACTATCTATCTATTGACCCTTATAATCTCTCACTGCCTTTCTCCTGTAATGCCTCTCAGTCCATTTTTTCTTAGTGAGTTCTCCCTTTGTTAATGTCTAAATGACTCCATCTTCGGCCTGTCCCTCTGTCTGTCTCTTTTCAGCCCGATGTTTCTTCAGACAGACGAACCCTGGGGGAAGAGTAGGGGGTAAAGGGGGGCATGTATTCATTTATTTTTCTCCCCCCCCTCCTTCCGTCCCGCATCCTCTCCCCCTACACATCTTCACAGCTGGAGGTAGTTAATATTTAAAAGCAAGGCATGACAGGACGCGAGACCTGCACACATGTTTGAACATGCACACACACACGGATCCAGTAGAGCAACACATCTGATTAAAGTGCTGAGAAGCTTTCAGAATTGATATTTGCATGACTCACTGTGTTGAGAGAAAATATACCAGGCTACATTCATCAACATCCCAGCTCCTCACAGGGATACGTGAGGATATGAAGCAAACAGTAAAAGTCTCTCATGTACATGTGGGCGGTTGGCACGGTGGGGATTAGAAGATGTGTGAAACTTAGAACATGATTTGACTCTTGAGGTTTGATCTTGTGTGTGTTGCTGCCCCCTCCTCCACTGATAAGACAGCCTGTTCAGCACTGGAAAGTCCTTGGCAACACCCAACATGTCTGCTTAATGCTAATTACTACATTTTGCAGAGGAAGGAAGGGTGCAATTTTCTATCTCATGGATGACAAGGGGGGTACACACCACAATGGTGTACTGCAATTAGATTATATTAATGATAGCAGTACTAACAGCACACACATTTGTGTTTTTGTAAGCAAAACGCCTCAAAGCATGAATTCATGAATAATTGAAGGAGTTGCAAAATTGACTTGGTCGATTTGGCTCGTTTGATACATGGCCTGTTGGCGGCTAATTTTCTGCAGTCAGGCTTTCTTATGGAAAAAACGACCACGCCCTCAAATCTCAACACAGCACTGCTCGCTCCACAATCTCCCCGTGATTGAACAACTTCTGATGGTGCCCGTTGACATCCCAGTGGTGATAATAGTTTTTAAAAGCACTCAGAAACACTGTGGCAGGTCATCTCAGCCCAGCTGCAAGCAGCCATCCCAGGCGTGACCTTTGACCCTGTCCAATGAAGCAGGTAACAGGGCTGGGATTGGATCGCTGACAGCTGCACAGCGGACACCCTGAAGATGTGAAATCAGGCATCTGCTTCGATGTCAGTGACTCTCGCCCCTGTGATAATGGAGCTCCAGGAGACTCCATGCCGTGCACACAGCTCGGAAGTGTGTGTGTGTGTGTGTGTGTGTGTGTGTGTTTGTGTGTGTGTTTGGGTGTGTGTCAGGCCACATCAGTCTGTACTATCAGCATGTTTGGGTGGCTGGGTTAGCCTCATTACGTGGCTACCTCCCATGCGACACTCTCCCTCACTCTTTCTGTCTGTCTCAGCCTCACTGTTTCACTCACAGTCGCTCCTTTATACTCCCCTCCCAACCCATTATAGTGTTCCCCTTTACTGCTCCTACTCACCATGACTGGAATATTCTTTGGCAAGGTCCACCTCCTGACTGGAGCCCACTGGACCATGCCCTTTTATCAGTCAGATTTTTTTCTGTCAGACCACTCGAGGTGTGTGTGTGTGTGTCTGTCTGTCTGCCTTCCTTTCTGTTGGTCTATCCATGCATTGCAAGCTTCTTTGAATGTGTTACTCCCCATGATTGTGTCTCTGAGTGTGTGTGTGCACACGCAACACACTCCCTTGGTGAATGGTGATTGGCGGCATGACAAGCGACAGCGCGCCACGCCATTAATCAGTCCTGCTTTGCTTCACTCGGCTCTCGCTCACCATCTCTTTGGAGGGGGCACTGATGGGCAAGCTCCCACCTTAGATCACATTAACACAAGTACTAATACCCTGACTAACCCTGCTTCATTCATCTGCCTCTAATGGTATTTTGGAGAGGCTGGTTTAAGACCGGATCACTGTAATTGGCCCCCCTGTCTCCAGAGAACAACATTCACTAAAGCTGCTGATAAAAGAGAAGAAGAAGAACAAGGAGAAAGTGAACAAATGATGCACACTGATTGGAAGAGTCTGCACATGTGTGTGTATGTATGCGAGTGGATGGATAGGATTAGCGTCACAGCTGTCACCCTTTGTCATCCCTCCTCCCCTCCTTCCATATCCCTCCACTCCTCCCATCACCTCTCACCCTCCCTCCTCCAGGTCTGTCTCTCTCCTCCCTCATCTCCACCTCTCCGTCTCCTGCGCTCTCCTCTTCAAACCCACTTTTCCTCTTTATCTTCCCCTCAAGTCCTCCACCCACTTCACCCCTCCTTCTTCTCCCTCTCTGTGTGCTTGTTGTGCCATTCTTCTGACAAAGCAAGCAAGTTAGTGTAATGGCTCATTTAATCCCAATGCTGTTAGTGTAAACTGCTTTATTAAGGGCTCAGCTCTTGTGTGGTCTTTAATTTCATCTAATTTGGCTCTGTTGATGTACACAAATGTCAAATTCCTGTTGCTCTTTCCAAGATATAAATACATTTTTCACCGAGTGACTTGAAAATATTCCCTGTAATTAACTGGCCAGCCATTACCCTCTAGATAACAGAAAATGAATGATAATCACATCTCTCCATCCTCTTCTTAAGCACCGCTCTTCTCCGTCATCTTCATCTCCTCCCTTCTCTGACCTCCCCCCCACTCTCCAAGGTCACCCATCACTCCATTGTGGCACTGCCAACAAACAGCAGCGTGTGGAGCCAGAACTCTTTCAGTCAGGCTGCCATTACTGCAGAGCTGCCAAATAAGCATCCTCTGTCTATTATCGCCATTTTCTTTTGTCTCACATGTACGTCTTAATCATGGTGCACTGTAACAGTTCTTTGTGTGTGATACTGAGTAGTGTAAACAGTCAGCGGGCTGCACCACGTGGTGCCGCGGGGGAGGACAGCCTGCATGTTGTGGGGAGGACTGGATCCAAGGGTACAGATGGAGAACGGGTAGACTCCTTGCAGGGGTGGCCTGCCTCACTCACCACGACTGATAGCATCTTTATCGCACACTTATCACAGCACTATCACCCAAGTACACTAGGGACTGTTCAGTTCATGCAACACAGCCCAGACCAGTCAACTTAATTATCAACAATTTTTTGTCTGTCTTGCGTATTATCTGATTTGACACTTCATCAATCTGCATTTGTCTGTCCACAGCCCATCTGGGTGCTGCAAGGCTCTGTTCAGCTTCTTGTTGTGGTATTCTGTCCATCTGTCCTGCTGACTGGCCCTTCCATATGGGCCACTGGTCATGTAATTAACCAAATGGAGATTTTTTTTTTTTGCAGGACAGGTTCAGTGATAGGCTTTGTTGGTGCTTTTTGTTGGGATGTGTATTGTTGACCCTTGATTGGTGTGTTAACTCCATGTCTCGGTCTGTGTATAGGTCTGACCACATGGTACAGGGTAATTTTTCTCCCATTCTGACACATGGCCCCGCTCTGCCCCTCCCTCTCGCTTCTCCACTTGTCCATCCCTCACCTCCCCCCTCTCCTTTATGTTTCAGAGAGAAGACCAGCAGGAGGGCGTGGACCTGACTTAAAGGAGAGAGCGAAAGGAGAGAGGAGGAAAAAAAAAGAAGACAAGAGGAACATACAAAGCAAAGCAGGGGCCTCCTGGAAAAGAAACAAAGCCTCACACTTCCTCTGAGTGTGTGAGGTTGCCCTCTGTGTGCTTTTTACTGTACGAGTGTGAGAGCAGGTGGGACTTTGATGGGACAGTGAGCAATGCCTCACACGCAGCGACAGCAGGTTGGCAGTAGGGGGCAGTGCTCCTCTTGCCTCCTCCCCTTCCTCCTCCTCCTCCTCCTCCTCTCCCTTGCTGCCCAGCCCAGCCGAGCAGCCATACACATACCCTCCAACTGTGAGTACAGATTCATATCGCACCATTCATAACAATGGTAGCTCAACGCTTCCATGAGGTTCAAAGATCCGTTTGTTGTGTTAATTACATTGTTGATTCATCAAAGCACGCTAATAATGATCTTTCATCGCGATTAATTAGTGCAAATGAGCCGAATGAACATGTGTTTCTCTTTCAGTAACCTCAGTATTCAGGGTTGGATTGCGCTATTATGCTCAAAATACTGCACTGTCTGAGGTTTCTTTGGTTAGTGCTCATCTGTGCCTGTGGTGTGTCTAATTACTTTGTAATTGATCCTCTCATACTGCATTGATTAGTCCCACTATTGATCTGGTTTCCTTGGTGCAAACCAGAATGTGATTGGGGAGTAATTTAATCAACAATTAGTTATACAACAAAAATCCACCCAGGTTTTTCCTCACTCGTTCTCATTTCGTCCTCCTCGATGCAATATGTGGGCATTAGAAATACAGCTGAGCTTGTGGCCCTGTAGGGAAATTGATCTTCATCTCCTCTGCTTCTGTCGGCCCACAGAGCTCCAATAGAGAGAGCGCGAGAGAGAGAAAGACAGAGAGAGAGAGAGAGAGAGAGGGAGAGAGGGAGAGAGGGAGGGAGAGAATATTGTTTTCACTGCTGCTTTTGTTGTTCACTCTTTATCTAAGACTACTTGCAGTGAGTCACAGTCCTTCACCACCCACACAGACTTCAAAAGTGTGTGTAAAGATATCACACACGCGTGGAAACACACACAAATAACCTGTAAACGCTGATGAAATGCAGTAAATCTCCCAGTCTAATTCCCAAAGGGGGGAGGTGACACAGAGGTGAGAGGGCCGAGGAGGATGAAGGAAGGATGATGAGGAGGAAGAGGGTGGAGCGGGTCAAAGATGTAAAAGGTCAAGGTGTCCTCCGCCTTTCAATTAGCGAGCCTCTGCCATGTCAATGGGACAGTGATCAGGATCAATACAGGAAATGGGTCAGAACTGGTGACAAGGAGGCCGGGGTTAAAAGCCGTGCTCCATTACAGGAGACATTACACTGCTTTATCGTGCATGTATCATAACTGTTGTTCATTTATCTATGAAACATCTATCTATCTATCTATCTATCTATACTGTTAATTAACTATTATTAATTATATTAATTATCTTTTTCTCCCTCTTGTTTACTGTAACTAACGTGTTTTTTTCCCCTCATTGCCTTTTCTCTGGCCCCCAGACCACATAAGTGATCGTAAGTGCTTTTAACTTTATTGATGTCTATCTGTCTTAATGCTGGTGTTGGCAAAGCTTATTGTAAACACTTTCATTATGGCAGAGAGGTTATTTTTCCATCCGGCACACAGTAAAAGTCCCGCCGCACTGTGCTGCACTTTAATGAATCAGACATTAGTGTGCATTTGCAGTGTTATGCTTGCGCGCGTGTCTGTGTTTTTGCACCTGTTTCAGCGCACGTGCTGTATTGTGCACGTGTGTTTGTACGTGAGGATGCGTGTGTGTGTTGGTTTGTGAACATGCGCTTGTTTCTGTGCGCCGTTTTTTCTGTATGTGGGTGTGCGTTTAGCCTCGCTGACTCCCAATAGGTGAGATCCCTGTAGGAGCAGCGAGGAGGAAGTGTGAGGAGCTGCTGTCTGTAAGGAGGCAGCAGGGCTGTCAGATCAAAGACACGGGGAAATAAAGAGGAGTTAAAGCACTAAGCACCGGCTCCTCTCCTCCTCCTCTGCCAATAATGGAGCTGTGCCTGCAGCCCAAACTTCAATGTGATCAGCAGAGGAAATGGGCTTATTTCCTCTATCAGTGGGAATTCTTTCATTAAATTCCCTCACTCACCCAATCCATCTCTTTCTGAATCTACCCCTTGTTTGTTTTTTTTCCCTCATACCTCCGTCTCCCCTTGCTCTGTTTCTCTGTTGCTCTGCATGTATGCTCTCTCTGCGCTGCACTTCATCCATCTCCCCCCGCCTGCTCGGCTCCATCCTGTGTCCTCCTTTACCCATTTACCTACGTTAGTCATCAGGGACTCTGTTTCTTTCCCTTAAGGTCAAATTAAAGACTCTACCATCATGTCAAATCAAGCTGTGACCTCTATTCCACAGCACGCAGCCAGCAGTGTATTGTCACCGAGGCTATGTGCAGAAAAAGATTTAAATTTCTGTCTATAAGTATTGAAAAAACAGAACGTAAAAGTACGACATTGGCCATAAAGCATGTGGACAAATCAAACATGCTGGTTCAATACAGTATTCACAGCAAATCCTAGCATGCTGGGTTTTATGAGTCTGTTACCGAGACATTGCTTTACGGCTTTTACGGACAGTGACGACGGAGAAGGAGAAACCTCTTCTGGTGGTCATTACTTTTTTCCCTGCGAAATCCCTGCTTCATTTCCCCACAGACTCTTTCCCTCCCTCTGCCTATCTCTCAGTCTCACACAGAACACTGTGCCATATATCTTTTTACATGAACCTTCCCTCTTACATTATGCTATATCAATTTCCTCTCATCTCAGCCCATTTTCTCTGCCTGCTCTCTTACTCTCACTCTTTTCCTCGGCCTACATTTCATCTTTCTCTCTGGGGAGTCTTTTTAAGTGATATTGACCGAATATACTTATCGGCAGCTCTTAAACTATGAAAATGAGTTGTATCTCTGGCTATTCTGCGCTGTTTGCTAAGCCGTTACCAACAGCTGTAGAGATATGTGTGTTACAATGGGGTGATGTATATGTTAATGTCATAGCTAGAGTTATTACAGCAGCATGCAGAATGAAAGCAGGTCACGTAAAGACTGCAGCACTATTCTGAGTATGTGCACGTGTCTGTCTTTTTAAAGCATATAGGGGTGTAGTAGCACATGCATGCCTGCTTTGTAACTGGTGTTGTGACAGCACTAACTCTGTTTTCGGTCCTTGCAGTCAAGAGGCCTCCAATGATCACCACACAGCCGGAGTCTGTCACGGTCTTTAGCATTGAAGACCTCGTCATGAACTGTGAAGCCACCGGCAACCCTCCACCCATGTTAGTCAGCACACACAAACACAAACAGTCTGAAGATGCTATATTAGTCATGGAGGAGCAGCCTACCCAGTGGTTATCTTTTTAGAAAACTGAGAACAGTGACCTTCCCTCTCCGTGTTCAGCTGACATCTACATATTAGTATTACATGAGAGCGCAGCTTCTCGCAGTCAGAGTTCTCATTTCAACAAGGGATAAATGTCATTAAGCCCTCGAGCAATCTTTTCAGAGTGTCTTTGCTTCTCTGAAGTGGAAAACTGCTCCAATTGCCAAGGAAAAAGATGAATATCGCAATTACACAGTACAAGCTTATGAGTCCCACTGGGGCATCTCGTGTAAATTTTACATCAATTCATTTTTGCCCTCAAATTCAGCGACATGTAAGGACAGTTTGTGTGTGTTAAAAAACTTATTTTTCAAAGGCTTGGTAATGATTTCTTTTTTGCTTTAATATTTGAGTGAACACCCTCCCATCAGTGTTACTGATTTTTTTTTTTCTTCGCTCAAGTTTCCGATGGACGAAGGATGGAGAGGAGTTTGACCCAGGCAGGGACCCAGAGCTAAAGGTGACTGAGCGCTCTGGTTCATTCGCATTCTACACTCTCAGTAATACTATGGAGACTCTGAAGCAGTACCAAGGCAAATATGTCTGCTACGCATCCAACGAGCTGGGGACAGCCGTCTCTAACGAGGCCATACTCAACACTGATGGTAAGAGCACACTGATAATCCTGGAGCAACCAGTGAACAGTTATTGAGACGCAGTCATTACATTTTTACGGTTCATTTGAATATTCAAATTCCCTCATGCTCAGAGAGAATTTGCTGATTTGTAGTCATTTGGCTTTAGCCTTGAGAGACGAATCATACCATTTGAAATAGAATCAAATTAATCAAACCTCCTCTGATATGTTTTCAAAAAAAGCTGCATCACATTAGAGGAGCTATGTGTCTTTTATAGATGTCAGTTTCAGTGCTGGAGCTCCTGTAAATGCCTTCAAGGTCCAGGTAGAAGCGAGCTGTGTTGTTGTTGGTTTTTATCAGCAATAACAGAGCAATTTACAAAGCTGTGAGCAGAACCAGCTATAAACCTTTTCCTTGCCCTGCTTTATAGAGAGCTCATTTGTTAGCAGATGGAGGCTCACACCAAGAGCTCAGAGTACCGCCACTCAGAAGATAATTACATGCAATAACATTATAATCAGCATATACTCATGTATTCACACACACACACACGCACACACGGGTCCCTGGGCAAAAGTAAAGAGCACCTCTGTGTATCTATCCACCTGTGTGACTGAATCTCTCCTGGGCGACCTCCTTCCTTCACAGTTTCCCTGACAACGGTTTCCCCAGAAACGCTCTTGAGTTGATGTCATGTGAAGCGCTCTTCAGTAGCTCCTGTGGGGTTATCAACAATGGGCAGAGGGGAGGAGGGGGGAACACATATGACTCACAAATCACATCATTCTCCTTCCGCGAGGCAAAAGACAACCTGGCTCCTTCTCACACGCTTCTCCTGAAGTTCCTCAAATGGGGATTTATAAATAATACTCCTTATCCACTTCATGGTGTGTTTAAGTTGACGTGTGATGTGAATTGCCCCAGGACACTGAAAATGTGTGCACAGGTGGTTGTGTACACATGTGTATCTGCACAGACTAATAGCCGTGTGTTATCCTCACTTGCTCCCCTTTAGTTCCCCCGTCCCAGCAGAAGGAAAAAAAGGTTAATGTGAGGTCTGAAGAGGGAAGCAGTATTGTTCTGAAGTGTAACCCTCCGCAGAGCTCTATGGAGCCTATCATTCACTGGATGGACTGGAGTGAGTACATTACCTTTCCATCTCTCCTTCCATTACATCCTTCCTGTCTCCACAATAAATCTGCTACTTAGAGTATCTATCCATCCTTTTGTTGTCCACTCACATCATAATGAAGTAGCTGATAATTTATTTCTCAAACAATATTATCTTTTCTCTTTCTCAATGTGCAGAATATCCTTTCATACATTTATCTGTCTCTGGATGTCCCTTTTTTTAAAATGTCTTCAGTACCTTTTGTAGGCTGAGCAGAGTCTGTTCTTACACCTATTCTCCGACGTCTCTTTATCATCATTTTTCTATTTCTCTCATCCTATTGTATCTCTGAGCCGCCTTCTCCGATTTCCTCTCTCTATTTTATCCCCTTGTTAAGCTCCTCATTCTCTCTCCCTTGTTTCACATTTTCCCACTGCCTCTATCTGCCATCAGTTTCTCTCGTTCTCTGTCTCATTTCCTCTCTGCCTCTCTTCACAGGGCTACACCATATCGTGCTGAGTGAGCGTGTGGTAGTGGGGAAGGATGGCAACCTATACTTTGCCCATTTGACAACGGAGGACAGCAGGGATGACTACACCTGCAATGTCCAGTACCTGGCGACACGTACCATTCTTGCAAAGGAACCCATCACTCTGACTGTAAACCCCTGTAAGTTTTGCTCTGAATCAACTGAATCAATCTACTGATAGTAGGTTGGACTGATCTGACCTGAACTTAGTTTTGGAAATGCATCTTTATGCCAAGGCAGCTCTTTTTGTGATTTTAACACAATAAAGTGCTTTGGGAAAATTTCATGGCAATCTATCCAATAGCTGATGAACCATTTCTCTGAAAAATGCAATTATGGACCTAATGGTGGTACTAGGGGAAAAGTCAGAGGATCACTAAAGACATGAGGTTTTCATTGTCTGGAGGCCAGGCCTTTGTGAACCACATTACGTGGCAATTCATCCAACAGTAGTTGAGATATTTTAGTCTGAATCAATAGCCAACCATCTGACAGAACAGCACTGCCATCCCCCAGCATGGCAAAATATACACCAATTAGCCACTACATCAAAACCACTGATGAGTGAAGTGAAGCTTATCGATCATGTCATTGTAATGCAATGTTCTGCTGGGAAACCCTACGTCATTGCATTTATGTGGATGCCATCCACCCAAACACCATTTAAGACAAAATATACACCCTCATTGTAACAGCACTCCCTGATGGCAGTGGCCCCCACAGCAAGACAATGTGCCATGCCACACCACAAAAACTGCTCAAGAATATCCCAAAGAAAACGTTAAAGGCATCCATTTACTTTAAAAATTCTCCACATCCCAATCCAGTTAAACATTGTTGCCAGTACCCCAGAGCCAAGGCCCATCACAGGTGGGGCCTCCTTGGATTGGACTTCGCTCTGACCTATCAAGGCATGGACACAGGACCTCTGTGAGTGTCCTGTGGTGCCTGGCACCAGGGCGTTGGCGGCAGATCCTTTGAGTCCTGTGGGTTGCGATGTGGGATACCGGCACATCTCTCAGATGCTTGATTGGATTGGGATCTGGGGACTTTAGAGGCCAGGTTGTTGCCTTGAGCTCTTTGTCACGTTCCTCAGGCCATTCCCAAGCAGTTTTCACAGTGTGGTATAGCACATTGTCTGTTCTGGGTGGGGCCAGTGCCACTTGGGAGAGCAGTTGCCATGAGGGTGTGTGCTTTGTTTTAAATGGTGTTTGGGTGGGTGGTGCGTGTGTCATCCACATGAATTCCAGGTTCCAAGTTTCCCAGCAGAACATTGCATTGTAACAAGCTGATCAATGTTATGTGATTCACCTGTTAGTGGTTTTAATGTTGTGGCTGAATGGTGTATGATTATTGCTTTTTGGGTGAACCAAACCTTTGAGATCAAGTTTACACTGTCCTTGAGACATGCATTTTATTTTGTAAAATATATTACTGTTGAAAGATGATCTGTACGGATTAAAAATCAGTGTTCTTACTTGTTTTCTTTACATAATAGCAATTTGTCACAATAAAATGTTGTCTGTATATCATATTGACAAACGTCAACTACTGAGGCCTCCTAGTTAAACCAAAGTCAGCTCACCCCCATGTGGTGGCATGTTGTGCTGACCAAAGCAGTACCGCATCCAGTAGACAGTCACAGAGCCGGCAGGGGGTCCATCACCTCCTCAGCCCAGTGGTAATGAGATGCAGCTCACACTGAGATGTGGCTGCCAGCATCTGTGGCCCAAGTAGAGGTCAGAAAGATGAGCACATGTTAACATGAGACCTCTGTGTGTGTAGAAAATCTGTACGATGATGTGTTGTTAGAAAAGTAAAGTCTTCTCCACAGGATTCCACACCCTGCATCTGTGTGTGTGTGAGTGTGTGTGTGTCAGAGTCTACAAAGTGGCTGCTGTGTCAGCAGCACAGCAATTTGAAAATTACCCATACATATGTATGAATCTTTCTCCATGTCTTTGTATTTCCGCTTCTCTTTCTCCAGCCAACTCCGTACTGCGGAACAGGAGGCCCCACATGATGAGACCTACTGGAAGCCGCAGCACTTACCATGCCCTCAGGGGCCAGACCGTGGAGCTTGAGTGCATCGTCCAAGGCCTGTGAGTGTCGGCGTGTGTATATGTTTCTGCCCCCATCAATCAGAAAACTTGAGCCGCTCCCTTTAATCAATCTTACCTGACTCTCATCCATCTCTCTCCCCTCCTTCTACCTCCGACCTCTCTGTGTTCCATGTGTCCCGTTCTCTGTGGCATCCCTTCATTCACATTGTTCCTACTCCTGCTATACCTCTTCCTCTCCTTTCTCATCCTCTTCAGTCCAACTCCCAAAGTCACGTGGCTGAGGAAGGACGGTGAGATGTCAGAATCACGGACCGTTAAAGACATGTTCGACCGGCGCCTGCGCTTTACTAATATCTCAGAGAGCGATGGGGGCGAGTACCAGTGTACAGCTGAGAACTCCCAAGGGAAAGCCACACACACTTACATTGTGGCTGTAGAAGGTATGTTTCACACACTTACCCACACACACACACACACACACACACACACACACACACACACACACACACATATTTTTATAGCATGTGAAAAAAGGATGAATTTGGCATGTATTGTGATTTCAC